AAGGGAAGCGTAACCTAAGCTCTCAGTAGCCGTGAGCCGCGCAGCGCTTTGTCGGTGATAGGGTCGTGGCACGACCAAGAACGCAGACGCGATAACTACTCGCGACCGCGCACTGTGCCCGCCATTACCTCGTCGAGCATTCGGAGGAAGTCGACTACAAGTTGGATAATCCTTTTACAGATGACAAAAAGAAGAGTACAAGGTGTCCCAGCGGCGCGACGTGATCCCTGCTGGAACCTTGCCGATGCCGGGTCTTTATCCACAAGTCTCGACTTCATAGGTAAGTGGTGTCATTACCAATGACCGTGACGAGGCAAAGAAGCAGCAAATGAATGCTGTTTGCAAGGCGGCTCTCATGCGCGCGCATCCGTCGTAGATCCTTGACCCTCGTGTGAAATACGGCTTCCGCTTGGCAGATCTCGCTACAGAAGAGAAGGACGCGATCACTCGCTCGTTGGTTGTCAACGCAATTGGGTCCCGGCTTTTACAAAATCTGAGCTTGACGAACGAAAATCTCTCCTAGATCGCTTTTTAGTCCCTCAAAAATCCCGGTGGATACGTACCGCACTCGACTTCGTGCTCAGAGTGGAAGCAGTCCTGTACACGCGATGCGGACGATTGCTGTGGTGCTCGCCCCCTGGCAAAACCACTACATATGACGAAGAGCTATTTCAGCGATATGTGCAGCGGCACCGTAAACTTTCCTAGCTGTACAACTTAAATTTGAGCTACAAGGAAGTGGACATGCGCGTGGTACGCCATCCTTGGTTTGATTTGCCAAACTCAAAGCGCGTCGCCAACTTGTTTGCAGTGTTGCCCTGCGACGTATCGGTTGATCCATCACGCTCCCGCGAGCTCTGTAGTCTGTCACACGGGTTGGTCTGCGACCGCAGCACTCAGGGCCATAGCTTGAGCTCAGCTGATGATCCCTCGGCTTCTCTGGCTATTGCCGATAAACGCGGGCGCGGAGCGTCATGATCTTTCTGACCATAAGTATCCATAACACCTGAGTATTCTTGCCGAAGTTGCAATTCAATCTCTCCCGAATCCTCGAAGTCGGGGTATCCCCGCCACTTCACAATATACTGGGTTTGACCCTGGCGACGACGTTGACCCACAAGGCGTTCTACGTGATAGCAAACACTATTCCTCTCGACGAGAAGAGTCGGCGGCTAACGACCAAAACTGGATCGATCGCCGTTCGGCGAATCGCGATACTCTTAAAGTCTTAAGGACGAGATCTGACGCGATCGGGACTCCAGTGGGCGTCGCATACCGCTGCGCGGAAGGCCTCGAAAGCTTGGAACACGTTGTGCACGGATCGCATCAAATTAGAGGCTTATCGCGCTCGATGTGGCTCCTAGCCGTTGAGCAGACGAATTCGCAGCTTCATGCAAAGGTGGAGCGCTTTACGCCGTTGGAGATGGAGATCGCTGCACTCCATGCTCAAAACAATTGCTGGTTCAGCTTCAGGGTGCTTAGACGTCTGTGGGTAGCGCCAACTCTTCCGCGATAAATTTCGCCGGGTCCCGGTACGGCTAAAGACAGCAGAAAGTGTATGGGTAGGAAGATATTTTGTATTCAATAAAACTAGGCCTCTGACCTCAAATTTTTTAATATCTCCTTTACCTCTTTCGGCTGTAGTTTCTTTCTGCATGTCTTGTGTTTCAGCAATCGCATCGCGAACGTGTCGTAAGAAACTCAAACTAGTAGACAAGAAGTATCTGACTTCTTTACGCACGGTGAGGGGGCTGACATCAGCTAGCCGTTCAGTTTTTTCCTCCCCCACCGCCCTGAACCACGGGATAGCGGTTTCGGTAAGACACAAGGATGAACAAGCCCATTCGCGGAGAACGGCTTGCAGTCGGTAGATGAATGAATGCACTGCGTTGCTCTGAGCTATCTCTACGAGTGGCAGCATGGCGCATCATCGCTTCGGAATCTCAGCGCAGACGCTGCGAAGGACGTCCTCGAAGACGCGATTCACGCACTCAGTATGACCATCAGTCTGCGAATAGTCCGCTGTGGACGTTGTCGGCTTGATACCCAACACCTTGAAGATCCTCGATCAAAACTTCTCAGGTAAGCGTGGGTCTCTGTCAGAGACAATTGACTCCGGGAGTACATGTTGTCAAAAGACCCGATCCATAAATAGCGTCGCTGTACCCTCAACTTTGATGGTGTCCGGCACCGCCGCAAGACGAGTTATCTTGCTCAAACAGTCGACGAAGACCACAACACACAACATCCAAAATTATGGTCTGCCAATACCGGGATGGTACCGGCAAACTGACCAGCGGTGCCGCCGCATGCGAAGAGAATTTCACTCTTTGACACGTCTCACACGTGCGCACATAGGTGCTCGTACATACGTAGAGCTTAATCCACCAGTAAGGGCAACTCACAGAGCTGTAGTTCGCCTCACGACCGAGATGACCACTGAGTGGGGTGTATGGGCCTCATGGAGGATACGGTACTTCAAATAATCATCGTGAGGAACCACAAATCGAGGCGTATCCGTCGAGTCGGTGCTATACTACAGCAATTATTATTCAACGAAATCGAGTCTGCGTGACAATGCATCAGTCAAAGCATTCTTCTTTCTGGCTTATATCTCACCTCAAAGTTTTATTATGCATAGAACGAGAGTCATCTGACCATCCCCTAAGTGAGGAGAGGCTACTGAGTCGCAGAGCGTAGTGACGCATGATCTTTGTAGATCACAAACGGCTTGGAGCCGAGAAGGTGAGCCCTGATCTTGACAAGTGAATACTTCATCGCAAGTAATTCCTTGTCGTGAACAGGGCAGATCCTCTCTGCAACCTTGATCTGGCGAGATTCGATCGCGAACACTTGATCTCGCCCTCGGCGTCTGCTTGCAGTAGTGCAAGGCCGATGGCAAAGTCCGAAGCTTCACAGACAACACTGAAAGGACGATCAGGGTCTTGCAACGCAAGTAATGGTGCATGAAGGAGGCTATCTTTGACCCCGTAAAACGTCTCTAAATGCTCGGCGCCCCAAAACCATTCCGCATCGTTCTTAAGGAGTTTTGACGATAGCCATGCCAATTCCGCATAGTTCTCGCTGTGTAATTGGCGAGGCCAGGCCACTTGCAGAATTCCTTTTGATTCTTTGGAGCCGGTCAGTCCACAGTGGCCTTGACCTTAGCGGGATCCGCTCGAAGGCCACTCTTGCCAATTAAAAACCCGGAAGAGGAAATCTCTTTGACGCTGAAGATGCACTAGCTGCATCAGCATACAAAATCATTCTTACAAATAGATAATTTCCTTAGTCTGTTATGCAATAGATCAGTCAGTTACTTCGCCTTGTGTACAGCCACACGATGGCATTTGCCTAGAAACGGATAGACATCCATCCGCAATGCTAGAGTCGTTGCCCGCGCTAACAGCACATTATACCTCCGAATACGACGCATAAACGCTGCGAAGGTCGTCGATCCTTGAACCCTCCAATGCAGCAAAGCGAACAAGAGCGACTCCTACTGTTCTCCCGTCTGCCATTGTTGGCATCTGGACCGACGAGAATGCGCCAGCACACCTGGCGCCTGAATTCGCAGCACCTGGCGTTAGTGTACCGCCTGAATTCGCAGCACCTGGCGTTAGTGTACCGCCTGAACCGCCGGAGTTTGCTCCATTTGGCGTCAGCGTACCACTCGAAGTGGCATTGCCTGAGTTTGCTCCACCTGAAGTGGTGCAAGAAAGTTGTCATGCGTCTCGCATAGAGGAAGCTTTGAATATTTGAACACGCTTTTATGTATACAAGCAAGACGGATTTTTTGCGCCAAACCGTTCTCTACTTATCTATTTCAGTTCTGTCATAGCTCAATATCTACGCCAGTTGAGAAGAGATCGGTTCATGACTCGTCAAGCTACACTACTAATATAATTCGCGGCATCTAACGAACTCAACTTTTAGTCGGCCGATGATTCAAGGCAAAATATACTTAGACCGAAATTGAACCTCAAATATAGGTCTGAAAAACAATGAACCTCAATTTCTTACGCACTTTTTGTTCTTAAACTACCTAGAAATGCTCATTCGACTCGTCCCTGTCGTGAGAGCTATACTGAAACTGCAAAGGCTCCTAGTTACTGTCTACTATTTTAAAAGTCGCACGTGCACGACGCTCCCGAATGTACCTGGACTTTAAATGAATGCACATTATCCGGGACTGGACAAATCCTTATAAAACCGAAGCTAGAAACACATATCAACTCGGCACAAGATCGCAACGGTGACTTTGTCTGCTGATGTTGCAATTGTATCATACTGCAGGTCTGTATATAGAATTCGCTACTTACCGATGTTGCCTGTGCTTATTAGCAAGCTGTTGTGCTTCTTGGATTGCCATGAGCTTGAAGGCTACCGAAACTTCGAAGTCGAGTCTAGGCTGTAGTAATAAGCAATACACTCCGTAAATGAAGCAAGAAGTTGTTATATCCACAGTCAGCAGGGTAATTCACATTATTTTTTAAACTTGAAATTTCTACTTTATATAATAGAAAAAAATAGTATTTTGGCGATCACCTTATTTAAATTCTTTTCTCTGATTGATCGACTAATTTACGTTATGTTTGCACCTATTTTCAAGTATAAATTGCCCAAGAAATTACTCTATCATCTAGACTTTTCGTATTCTCGTAAACATTGATTTGTCCTGCATTCATCTTCAAATTTCTCGGGATGCCCTACTTGCGTACAGTAGCGTTGGCTGTACAATCATCTTGACAAAGTTGACCCTTCTGCTGAGTCAGCCTAGAGATTGTTAACCATATGGAGTCTTTCATACTTGATCACGTAGACACAATTGCAATTGATTTGAACCAATCGACGATCAATCGTCTTTTTTACAAAACATGAATTCAGTTCACTGTAGAAAGAACGTGTCATGGCCTTCATAGCGGACCGCTTTAACTTAGAAAAGCAAGTGACATTCTATCTGTCGTACCACCACAACAAGATCAATCAGTACATTCACTTGGCTTGCATCTGGCCTATCTTCATATCGGGACTCATGATTCTTGCACACACACAACCTTTGTTCAAGACGCCAGATTTTCTAGCCTCGTTGCCATACGGACAGTTTGTGGTGCTCAATTACTCAGCTGTCATGGCTGTTATCTATATGCTTTGGTACATGGCACTAGACATATACGCCGGTTCGCTCGGCGCCGTCATCGTCTCTTTTTGCTACATATTTGCCAATTTTTTTGTCATCGAAGGCGCCAACGCCATGGGGGTGCAGAGCATGCACGTGGCACTGGCCATTCATGCTACGGCTTGGATTTTGCAATTTATTGGCCACGGTGTGTTCGAACGTCGCAAACCGGCACTTTTTGATAGTCTCGACCAGGCACTGATCACAGCTCCGATGTTTGTGCTACTCGAGATTTTATTTCCTTTCGGTTATCGTCCAGATCTTTACCAGCGTGTGATGAAACAAGTTCATATTAATGTCAGAAACTTTCAGGCTAAAAAGTCAGTTTGAAGTGGTGAAAAAGAATTGAAGCTCATGTTGTCGAACAAATCAACTTATTATATCTTTCGTTTATTATTCTCTACGCGAATGAATGATGTTTTTTAAGCGAGCAACGCGATAACTATAACTCTTCTCAACCACTTAAGTACTATTCTTAACGATTCGCACGTGACTTAATGACACGCTAATAATCTTTCGAGACACGACTGTTCCAGCAAGTGATACTTTATATCTCGTAAAATATTTCAGGTAACGACGCAGATGCATATGTATTTTAAAAGTTTTCTTCTTTTACATTGACTTTATGGATCTCTACCAACTATCAAAAATAGAAAAAAACATGTTATAAAGATCGACCTTCTTCAATTGTACATGGAACCTCTTGCGATCAAGTGAGTTCACTAATGCGTAGGTTCGTTGACCGTGATGTTGCTCGTATTGTCATATCCTTTTGAATCAATCGCAATTCCAATGCAAGGGTTGTAGCCGTTGGTCGCTTCGTTTGGTCCTGGGCAAGACATCGTTCTACCAATTCTTTTAAAGCTGGAGACAAACTAAATCCAGTTTCGGGATATTCTTGACCGTTTGCTGCATGATGAAGGATATTTGTGTCCGACAGAGTCGAGTCATTCACTTCATGAACGTTGTTAAGCGGAATTTCGTTTGTATACAATTCAGTGAGTAGTGCACCAAAACTATAAATGTCTGCAGCTTTGCCAAAATCAGTATCACCACGAATCACCTCGGGAGCCAGCCATCGACAGCTGCTTGTACGATTGCTCACAGGTCGGAATCGTGACGTAACAAAGTTGCTTAGTTTGGCTTTCAATTCTGACGAAAGCAACACATTTGCTGAATTTAAGTCGCGATGAACAACTGGAGGCTCAAACGAGTGCAGATACGCGATAGCTTCGATCACTTCAATCGCAATATCAGCCTTTTTCATATTCCAATCAACTGAAGTCTGGGATTCTGCCAAGAGAGTTCGAAGATCGCCTCCATCCATATACTCGAGCAGCATCTGTAGATCACTTTCCATTGTCCAAGCTGCACCCACAAATTTTACGAGATTTGGATGACTGAAATTGGCAATCAATTTGATCTCTTCAATGAACGTTGCAATGTGCGTTTTTGTTTGCATCTCCGGTCGTAGTCGCTTTGATGCAATCATCTGTGAATTTCGGTACTGCACGAGCCAAACCATAGCAAATGCACCACTTCCAAGCAGCTTTATATCAGTCACGGTGGCTGCGCGTACCTGCAATGAAAGGAGGTCTGGGTCATCCCAAATTGATGTATATTCATCGAAATTTGTTTCATCTGTCTTAACGGTCAACTCTGACGAAGAAGTTGAAGAGGTTTTCTCATAAAAGAAAGACACACCTACATTGGTATCGACAAATGCTCGTTCATTCATGCAATGCGACTCATCATCCCGAGCTGTTAGATCATCGATTGAAAGCTCATTTGATTCCATTGGAATATCCACATTCATGGCTGAAGAACTCTGTAGCCCATCATACGACTGCTGCAGTCCAAGTCCACCGTCCACTGATGGAAAAGTACCAGTAAATCCTAAGGGGTCGTCAAGCTTACTTTGTGGTAGATCCTTCTGTCTTTGTCGATAAAAAACAAAGAGGAATATCCCAAAAAGCACGACTGAGACACCACAAATGATTCCCACGAGTAATCCAGATGATGTCGGCGAGGAGTCGGAAATGCTAAAAAACGTAGCATCAGAGCCGGTAGAAGTCGGAGAAGTTTCAATGCCACTTTTACTTTTCATTGCTGTATCAGCTTTGTCAGCACTTGGATCTGTAGGTCTCACACACACTGTGACATCATGAATAGTCACTTGATCATTCTCATCGCACTCAAGCTCTACAGTGAAATCAGAGGCAGAAAGGTAAAGCTTCTCTAAGTTGCTTAAGAAAGCCGCCTGATCACTAGTGAATTCTCTGACAGTAAACGAATTGCCAGTCAAATCTCTGCAAGAATTCTGTCAGCGCAAATAAATAAATGATGACGACATTTCACAGAAATTGACGTACAATGTGTTCAGATTCAGATGCTCGTATATCGCATCAGGGAATGTAGTCAAAACATTTCCACTCAACGATCTACACAATAAACACAGTTATTTTAAAAACGATGATGTTTTTTGAAACAAGAATGCGTACAGAGTTTCAAGGTTGGTAAAAACGCCTGTAAAAGTCTTGATGCTGTTTCCTGCTAGACTTCTGTGGATACCAAAGTTGACACCAATATCCCTTTAACAAAACTTCAAACATTTACTTACAGTGTAGTAATGGAGTCGACTACGTCGGTTTGTACCACTGTGGTAATGTAATTGAAGTCGAGAATTCTAGTCGATAATGATTTGGACGATTAATCCTATTATAAAGGAATTTGAAGATTTTGGCACGTACAGCTCTCGTAGGGCCAATTGTCTTCCTAACTTTGTTGGAAACTTTGATAACAGCGTGTTGGTAAGCTCGAGGCGTTTCACAGTAGATGGTAGTAAGCTTGATAGATTATCGACCTGATTCTCGAGCCCAAGATTCTTTAAAACGACTCGCGTCACTGCAGTCGCGGATGAAATAAAATTTGAAACAATTGTCATGCTCACCACTTTTCCTCTAGGGTAATTGTATGAGATTATTCCTCCTGACATTGTACTGCAAAATCACGAAACATGTCTAATAAGCAAGTTAAACACACACTTCAAATCCTTCATATAAATGGCTTACAATGTCTCGATAGATTTTGATACGCTAATTTTTGCGACCGCTTTGACGTCATCACTGCTAACCGATGACCTTGTGTCTGTTCTGTTTGGACAATCGCCCAAATCAGCAGTAGTGAAGTCGCCAGTTCCTATCTCTTGCATACTTTCATACTTGCCAAACCCAATTGTTACCTCGAGTGTGTTTCGTTTAGCAACAGCCATGCATTGATACGAGCAATCACCGTCTATCTTGCACCCTGAATCTGTACACCTTTTCTTGTTGGCGAGTCCAAAACACAAATCAAAGTCACTGCATCCTTGACAACCTTCGGTTGTCAGCGTCGAGTATCCCATTGCACAGTCGCCATTAGCGATATTCAGGATGCCAATCAGCGTCAATACCAAGACAGAAAGACATTGAAGACAAAGCGTTGCTGTCATGATATAACGATGATAAGATTATTGTCATCTAGCAATCAGGAATGAAAAGAAGAACTCTAAGCGACGATGCAGAGGAGTGACATTAACAGATGTAAACTCTAGTCTTAGGAATTTGGTAACCAGACGATGCATACCTGACTGGAAATAACCAGAAATCGACACTGTTACATTTTCAAGTCCAGATGGTTGAAAAGCATAGGATGTAAAAGTGACCACGACTAATATCAAAAGGACTTTGCTTGTATTCTACACAGTTGATCAATATACCTCTTCCAACAAATTTTCATAGTCCGTGAGAATATTGGAAAGCCCTTTACGGTAACAAAAACTCGCGGAATGTGGCCAATGCTGGAACCATTCTTTTGTTTCTACTAATGATACTAATGCCTTTGACATGTGCACATGCATTGGAGGTTGCCGCAGTAGCTGAAGTCTACAGTGTTGCCAAAAGGATGATCGGCCTGCCAGTTTGAATTACATGGAGAGAAGAGAAAAAAAGCCAACTATGAAATTAAAGTCGCCTTCCTTGCGAAGAAAGTGCCAACATTAGAAAAATGACAGTACATGCTTGTTGCGAGTTTTTTCGACTTCCTTGTGTTCATAAACATACAAGCAGTTAAACTAATACACCAGTGAAGCAGCGATAGCTTACCCGAAGACAATCAATGTACTGGAGTTGCCGGGCATTTTGCATCAAAGAGAAAGCTTTGACACAAAGACTAAGCTTTTAAAAAATGCATACAGGCTGGGTTCGGGTTCTAATATAAAGTTCATTCGGTTGGGACGAAGGAAACCAGGGAAGCCACGATGATCGTTCTTATTATAGAGCACTTGGAAGTCCTTGGTCGCGATGACCTCACATTCCGCAGGAGTTTATTGAGCCATTTAAGGGTGCGTAAGGGAGAAGTGCGTGATGCGAGGATAATTAGAAGAGCAGGAACTATACGGTGTAAGTCGAGGATACAATTAGCAAATTCAGTGCTAGTTAGAGCGCTCAATTTAACGTCAAAGACACTATCAGAATTAGGACCAGTGTAGCTCACATCTTTGTGAAGCATAACGTAGTATCTGTGCGTGGAAACTCCATTTTTTGTAAAAATTAGAAGTGTCAATGTACTGGTAGTATGAGATTTCGTATAGATTAGGTGTTTGGGATGGTCGAGTTTCCGGTTGGCCCACGTCATGCTATGCAATGAGCCTTTTTTCGGGTTATAGGTCGCTCCCTGAAAATAAAGAGCAGCAAGTACTGATAGGGTCTCGCTTTTGATCATGGTCGAAGTTTTCGAACACATTTTCGTGCGTTCGTTCACGCGCTCACGTGTATTCGTTAAGTTAACGTCTTCGCTGCACGAGGTGCACGACTTCCGCGTTTTATATATTTTTCCTAGTGGAGCTTTGGTGACTCATAAACCCACCTCTTCCACGCAGCATAAGTAAATCGCTTGGATACGACGCTTCGACAGCTACAATAGCTTTTCTGCAGTGCGTAAGATATTTCGAACAGCTTTAGGGTGATCTTGCGGATAGTATTGGACGACAAAGCGGATAAAGTGGTGCGATAGTATAGCTTAATTCTTGCATATTTGTTGAGACGCATAGAAACGGCTGTTCGTCGAAGTTACTAGAATGTGTCTCAGGTGGGGCGGTTGTGAGCTGGCGTTGTGTGTCAGGGGTGGAGAGGAGTTGAAGCGATCAGGTGATGCGGTCTTTCAGGTCAGGTCCGGTGGAGTTGTAGTTAGACGACTGTAAGTCGCAAGAAGAAGGCGAGGTCTTGAAGTTATCAAGTATGATGACTAGGTAACGGAACTACTGAGTCGATACTACCGCGTGACAAGCCCAATATGCGAAGCAGTGGAAATCGATAGAGCAAATACCTCGGCATTATAACCAAGATTTTGTTTAAATTCGTTACTCGCAACAACCACGCCCTTGTGAAAGGATCTTAGAGTTATTCATTTGTATGAACGGGAGCGAACTACCAATGCTACTATGCTTTGAAGGACAGGCATGGTATGACGCAAAGTGCGTAGTGGGCTCCAAAAGTTGTGGCTTTTCGTTAAGTGGTCGCTCTCCTCCAGTGTCATAACAAGACAAGAGAGGTGTAACCAAGTATCGTCACATCTACGTGTAGAGTGTGTAAGTGTAGTATGTATCCCTTACACCTTACTTATTTGGTACAGTTGAGCAAAATGCAAAACTGCTCAATCGTGCTTCCGAAGTATCGGTATTTACGAATATAACGGGACTCACGTTAAAATCAGGCCGGTTTTATCATCCGGTATATACGCAAGGAATTGCGGCTGTCCATTCTTATCCTTGATCACAGCACACCGTCTTCATCAAACGTCTAAATTGCCGCGTACATATGTGCAACGACGCGTTTTCTTTCATGGTGAGGAACAGCTGCACTTTGTGCGCAGTACACTTGATGTCGCCCTTTATGTCTTAATACTCCATCGACTGGTTAGCACTGATATCCATCTATCAGCTCCGATCTACGCACATAAGGACATCAAAATTTCGAGTGAAAACTGTAGCTTCTTCCCAAATTCTGGGTTTGATGACAGACAAAATCAAGACAAAGATTTAAAGACTACACCGGTCTCATTGATACCGTCGTGGGGTCTGTACAGGAACACTTTTGTTAAAAGCTTAGAAATATCAATGTGCTCATACTGAAGGAACGATGGGACTCCGTAAAAGATACTTCTGCGGGAAACGTGAATTGAAAGCCCCATGCAATGCAGTGCATATAGTATATGGTCTTCTTATTAAGAATATTCAATAGATATATTTCCAAATCTATAAATGAACGGGTAGACCTAAGTTTCTGTGAACGTTGAAAAGTGGAAGCTTTGACATCAAGAGTCCGCGTGTACAGCGCGAAGAAAATACATTTTCTCACTCTATCCAAGAGTGGAACCAAACGTCTTTCACGCAACCTATCTTTTTTATTCAAAAGTATTATTCATATTGTAATTGGGTATACTTTCGATATATCTGTTCTTTAATGTTTGATTATATAGCTGTACGTATTGCATAACATGAGGCTAGTAAATAGCCCACGTATCTCACAGACCTCTCATTGACAAAGACTCATTGTTCGCATCAGAAGCAGTACGTTGACCCTTTGCATTGTGCGCAATCGCACAACGATTTAGTATATAAATTTGAAAAATTGAACAATGTGAAATCGGTATAGACGCGATTGTACGGACCTACTCAGTCATACCTAACAATCCAATGAGTATATCACACTGATGCATTCACTTACTTTGTCTAGATCAATTGTTGCGTGATAGTAACTGCTGAATTTTTCCGAAGATAAGCTATGATCCATGCACTCTACAGTGCCTGCTGCTAAAAGCAAACGTAATTATAAGTTTGTTTTCTTACATACATTGATAAGGTTAGAAGAATGTCTGAAGGAAGCGGTCCTAGCCGACAACATTCAATCCATGTTAGGTATGGAAAATGCGGTGTTCTCCATTTTAATCAGTCGTTGCAGTTTTCCGATCTCTGACTTGATACCACTTTTCTAAAAGACGTACGGTAGTGCTGCTCGCTGCGAAAGAGACGATCTCTTGTTTAGAATCTTCCCTGTACGAGTTACGCACCTCATGCCCGTTCGCTACGCCGAAAGTGTAGCAGCACGCTACCGCGGAATTTAGGATGACGTCAAGCTCGTCGCTCATGCGCTAGGTCCGACTCGCGAGATCCGGCTTGTCCGTCTCCAAGTGCAAGAGTCGCAACGCCTTCATTTAGTGTTGCTCGCCAAATTGTAGCGTAGTTCGTACACGCCCATACGTGTTGGACTTCTACTCTGAACCAAAAGTAAAACAAACGCCAAAAAGTCAATTTGTAAACTCATGATCCCACATGCCACAGCTTCAGGCGTCCTGCTCTCACCTGGAGCAGCGGTCTTCGGATAAATTTGTGCTCTATCTTATACAGTTGCTCTGGTACTGGATGCTGGCGAAAGCGACAAATAGTACTGCACTCATCTTAAGCACTGACTAAGAAAAACACGTCATCTCACCTGTCAAATAGCTGATTTACTCAGCTCCAGTGAAGCAGACATTCGGTCAGCTATGCTTGAGGCTACAACGGACAAAGTATGACGTGGCATCAAGGTGAAATACTCATCACACAAATTCTTCGTGCTATCAGCCACGTTCACTTCTACGAGACAGCTGTTACAGCTACCAACAGAGCCTGGGTTTTAAAATGTGCTTGCGTGTTGGGCGATCTCAACGCTCCTCTTGACCCTCGTCTCAGCGCTTTGATTGCTGACTTCGATATGACCCGAGTCGATCGAACTGCCTCAAGTGGCTAGCGAAGCTGGGCGTCATCGATGCCTGACGGATGCATTTTGGCACGAAGTGCGCGTTCACCAATCCACTTCCCCAGAAAAACCGGCTAGCAGTCCGAGATGTTCTACAATCGCTACTACTACGGCTCAAAGTACCGAAGCGCGCTGGCGACCACCTCGCTTACTATATGTACTTCCGGTCGGGCAAACATCTGCACGGTCTAGGTAACTGGAAACTTCCGCGGTTCCTTCTCTACTACCGGAAAGTTGTGTCTGCGATCGAGAAAGAAACCGAGCTGGTCCGCAATCTACTGCTTGTCGCTGAGAATCCCGACAGAGTGTGAGAGATGTGAAAGATGAGCAATAAAACACAGCTGCAAGATGTACGGAAAAAGCTTTGGATACAAAACACGCAAACTGTTAAGGACGCTTGCATCGCACTCGAGCAAGCTTTTGCTCGATATCGTACAACAGGTAGCGACTCGAATTGTGAGCTTTACGATGAAGTCATGCGAAACTACAAGGAAACCGTCACGCGGAAGAGTCAGTACAGTCAAGACACCAGGTTCGACTTCTAAGCGGCATCAAATACTTCTTCCGTTCGGTGAACACGAGATTCCGACGATCGAGGACGTCGTGACTTCGAGTGGAAGCGTTTGGACGAATCTTCTACTCGCTCGTCGGCTCGTCTCGGAAATTGATCGTGCGCTGCTTGACCCACCGACCACGGCTGCCGACCTTGCGAACGCGATTCTGCATCTTAAAGCGACATCTTCGTCTGGGAAGGCCTGCTTGAACGCCGTTTTTCTTAAACCTCTTCGGATGTATTCGACGAGTGTTTGAGCATCGTGTTCAACGACCAACTTCGCAGTGGGTTTCTGCATCCATATCAGCGCAAGTATGCAGTGGTGCTTCTAAACATGTACATGAGCGACCATTTTCGACTTAAATAACCTCCAAATTCTCAGTACTAGCAGCAAAAGTTGCAGTACTTGCAGGTTAGAGAACTAAAAATGCTAGAAGAATCGCTGGATCATATTCAGCTGCTGCTAATGGAAAGAAAGGAATTTAACGAAGTTAAGGTACTGTGTGTTCTAAAATACCGACGGCTCAAAGATGCTGTTTATACGACCTGCTGAAATCCAACGAGGAGTACGATGTGTGTCTCGACGCAGACCACACAGCCACAAGAAGATGACTTGACTCTCATTGCGAGTTCAATCGCGAACCTGCGGGTGCAACTTGAGATCGTGAAAGACTACTGTAGAGGCTCCGGTGCGAAGCGCAACTAATTGCAGTCGGTACTCTTGGCGCTGAATCAAAACAAGACCGCTCCATGCTTCGTGGAGTTCAAGTTCTCGAACACACAAAGACAGTCAAGTATCTCGGCATTCCGTTAGAACTGAGTTTGGTCGACGACGCGATCATTGCGTCTCTCGACTAACGGTTTACAACGACTCCAAGGCTTGTATCGGCGCGTTCGCACTCTCTGAGGTCGACCGCTGGTAGCACAGGCGATGGTACTCTCCCGTTCGTGGCACTAAAGGTAGCATATATCAATACGGCATCGGGCGTAAAGCGGTGGCAGTCGTTTCGGGCTGAGTCACCAGCAAGACCGAGACACGTTGCACGAACAGCTCATCTCCGATGAGTTCGCGCACCAGCGCGCAGTGACGGTAGATTTAAGGAAAAATTATAATTGTGTATGAGTGATCCTGAGTGCGCACCTCAAGCGGCAACGCCTTGCACTGCTACTGCCTTTCATGCGTGCAGAGAGTGACACAAGTTTGTAGAGCCGGACGACATCGAGCACTGAGCTGCTCAAGCTGGCTCTTTTTCGCACTTAGCAATGCAACGCGCTAGACTTCCTCACAATCTCTTTGCTTTGACACGGCGACTTGCTCAAGTAGAGCCTGACGTCGACGTGGTGGTGAACGACTTGGGAAGGCTGGTACAAGAAACGCTGGGAGATCATCTGGCACGACCTTCCACTGGACAAGCCTGCAGCGTACGGTCTCTAACACTCAATTTGGTCCCACTTGGACGCCGAACCGCACCTTGAGCAGACTCAATCGAGATACACCAGGACAGCTCGCTGTCGATGCATCGGCATAGTGCATGGACCACAACAAAGCTTTCGGCTGCATATCTCGCAAGTCTTCGGGCTGAGATCACTTGCAGACTTTGTGCGCGAAGCCAGCGCGTAAGCAATGCAAAAAGATTTTGTAGAGCGTCACTCTCGCGAGTTGACGCCTGGTCTGCAGGCAAAATGGCTGCGGAGGCTGTTTAGGGAAGCAACGCAGATTGTAAATCAATTTAGCGCGTCACAACTTGTGCTTTCGCTGTCGGACAGCGAGCAAATGCGTCTACTTCTCCACTTGGGCTGCACCAATGGCGTGCAGACGTGCCTGCTTCCGGAGATCCCGTGATCTACACTTCTCCGTGCTTTGTGACACCCAAGCCACCTTTGGCCACATTCAATGACGATATACACATAGTGAGTCGAAGAAGCGCAGATCAGGGCCTTTGTCAGCTTCGGCAAGTATTTGCGCAAGGTCCTGCTTCCTGTCTTTGAAGACTTGCAATTTTGGCTTGCCTTCTGCCTTCTACAGGTGCGCTCGAGCTTCTGGTACCTCGTGGCAGCAAACCCGATCATTTGGTACTGTGTCCGCGACGGGTGTGACGCCATCAAGACCGAGCAGCGCTTTTCTTCGCCTTCAGCTTCTCTCGCAGCTCTGGTGGCAGGTTCTTGAGCTGGTGTCGCCGTTCTTCGATGAGCGCCTGACGTGGCTCGACATTGCGCTGGTCAAGAAGACACACGGTCGCGACAACTGGGAAGCTCGGAAAGACGCGGTTGGCGACGTCTTGCACACACTTCGCACAGTAACCCTTCACTTCTCGTGGTCCGATCGCAATCGGTGTCTATTTGACGAATGATAACCAACAATGGCGTTCGCAGCGATCCAGTTGATCCTCACGGCTTTTTCGCTTACATTCAGTACCTCCAATGACGCTTACTCGTGAAGGGCGCGGTTGAAAGATTGTGTAATGTGATACAAAAGCAATAGACACACGAGCCTTGGGTGAGTTTGTACTTTTCTTTCCAGATGCGGGAATCTGCGTAACAAAATATCCTGGGACCGTATTTAATCGATCAGGGGATGTCAATTTTGGTAGTTTACGAGGTAGTCTTTCAGCCATCCACCCATCCGACGCGCTCATTTTTACTTTTTCTATCATCTTCTCAAGCAACTCAAACAACTCCAACAACTTAAAATCTGACTTCCAAATATTGCCAGTCGCTCCTTAGATCAACTTATCCCAAGCCAACCTCCCCGCCCCAAAGTCGGCAAATTGTATTGACTCCAGATGCACCCGAAAGGGGGCGGGGTGTAACGGGGTTACATGAGAGTGACCCGTCACTCTCCCAAGGGAGCTGTGGTGTG